TAGCCTTGTTAAACCTCATTTGGTTCTCATGTGCCCACTTTTGGAGCCTGTCCAGGTCCCTCTGGTTGGCATCCCTTCCTTCAGTTGTGTCACTTGCACCACTCAGCTTGATGTCATCAGTAAATTTGCTGAGGGTGCACTCAATCCCGTTGACTATGACGTTGATAAAGATGTTGAAGGTCCCAAGACAGACCCCTGGGGGACACCACTGATGACTGGTCTCCACCTGAACGTAGAGCCATTGACAATAACTCTCTGGCTACCAGTTCAACCAATTCTTTATCCAGTTTATACATCCATATGTCCTTATTATCCAGGTTTCACTGATTTCCTCCTGAGCATCTCCAGCTCCCCAGTGATGGGTGTAACCAGGTTCTGCTGGACAGGTGAGGTTCCTGCCACATCACCCTGCAAGTGCAGCCACTCACATCTCCCCTGGCTGTCCTGTTTGATTTTCTGATGACTGGAGAAAGAAATGCGGTGGTTTGACTCAGAACAGGAAGGGCGAAAACCCTGGCCATAAACTGGGACTTTACACTTGAATATCATCAAGCAAAGTCATCAGAACTCTCCAAAAGCAGTCAGCAGCTTTAAGAGATTTTATTTTGGGGAAAGCATTCAACTGTGTTGGATTACAGTTAGCATGGATGCTGGTTTTCATGGAAAATCCTGCAGCCTGGGAGGAGATTGGTGGCTTCCCTGTCTCAGCTGGGGATGGGAGAACAGGGGAGGCTGAAGGCCTCCATCATCCCTGCCCATTCCTCCTCTACCCCAAGAGATCCCAGTCTTGGTACCTTTGCTGCTCCAAGCACCAGCCCAGCCAATCCCCCAAGGGGCTTGGAGGGCATTCATTGAGAAATTGGGGTGATTGATCACGCTCAGCAAAGGGCAATGAAGGAGCTGCACTGAAGCTCATTACTGTAATAAATGTTAAGTGCAAAATCTATGCTAATACTCTGGGTTTTGGCACGCTTTCTGTTTTGCAGGCAATGGAGCTGGGAAGGTGATGCCCTTAGGGGAAGAGGAACCACAGCATGAAGAAGTTCTTGCAGCAGAACCAGCTTGCCCAAATTCTGCCCTAAGGCTGCTGCTGTTTTTTTGGCACCAGGGGAAGGAACAAATGGCATCGATGAGCTCAGTGGGACTCAGCAGTGTTTTGATCTTACAAAGTACCATGGTACATAGAAAGGCAAAGAAAGGGAGGAGTTGTTGTCTCCCTTAAGGGCAGAACAGAAAAGATTCTGCAGAGGGCAGAGGGGGTGGAGCAGGATGCCCAGGGCAGTGGGCAGGGCCCCAGGCTGGCAGAGTTCGAGGAGCATTTGGACAATGCTCTCAGACATCTGGGTTTTGAGTGATCCTGTGTGGAGCTGGGAGTTGGGCTCAATGATCCCTGTGGATCCCTTCCAACTTGCTGTTTGTTTTTATGAAGGGATGGAGGTACTGGGAGTCACCAGCTGTCACCTGTGTTCCTCCTCTACCACCATGCTCAGCGTTGGTCAGACCAAGGGTACAGCTGTAGGGAGTCCTGACCTCAGGATGTCCTAAAAATAGGTGTAAATGAGCATGTGGCATGCTCAGGAGTGGAACTCACCACAGGGCCGTGCTGCCATCCAGGGGGTCCACAACAGAAATAGGCTGGTTAAGAACATTGTGAAGTTCAACCAAGAGAAAGAAGTGCAGAGTTCTGATGTGGGGCACCAGGCACCAGGTCATGCTAACTCAGGAACAGTCTGTGACCTGGCTCTGGGTTCTCAATTATTGGAGGCTGCTGAGAACTGACCACCAGGGAGGTGTTTGTTCAGCTCATGACAACTTGGTGCCTTCAGAAGTGCTGGTTCTTACTGGCCTTTGGAGCTACGCGATACTCTGAACAAATTTTATGGTCTGTATCTTGCAAGTGACTTGGCTTAGAGCTAAATTAATTGGGCTCAGCATCCTCGCTCTGATCCTGGTCATATTTTGATGTCTCAGCTGGGTCATCACTGCCTCTGTTTTTTTAATCTTGCAGCAACTTGGCTGCAGCCTCTGCAACTGCTGGCACCAGGACGTGATTCTGGCTGGGAATCCCACTCTGCCGCCTCTATCCCAGTGGATGCAAAAGATCTGGATTTGGGGTGTTGAGATGGGTTTTGCTGGACATCAGTGAGGTCTGTTTTCATTCTCAATGGCCTAAAAGCAGGTGGAATGCTGTGGGCAGGGCCCAGCACCACCTCACTGCAGCAGCAGGAGGAGGAATGGAAGCATCAGGTCAAGCTAGGATTGAAATGCTTGTGCAATTTATCAGGAAAAGGGAAATAAGTCAGGAGCAGAGGTACTCCTGGATCAGAACAGAGCAGTTCACACACAGCCCCTCTGCCACAGTGAATGGAGACATGAGATACAGTCAGTGAATCCTGAAATCTCCTGGGATTAAATGATTACATTAATCTTTGCTTTCTCTAAACTGCGGTAACAGCAATAGCCGCAGATCCCTCTGCTGACTTCACTGTGCCTGGCTGGGGACTTCACACAGTCAAGAGGCAAGTGGAAATGCAAAGCCCCCCCTGTCCCCATTCTGTCCCTGCTCGCTTTGCCTGCTGCCTCCAAAGATGCTGCAGGGCAGGAGCATTGCTGCAGATGAGGTGTTCTTGGGAAGTCTCCCAGATGGCTGCCCCTTGCTGGAGCACTTTAACACACAGGCACTGTGTGTGTGGTGACCACCCTTGCAACGCAGAGGGTCCCTGGGGCCACCATTTTCCATCCATCCATTTCCAAACTCCCCAACTATTCTTTGCCCCTGTTATGTCATACCTAGCACTTTATTCATGCAGGGAAAGAGCTGATGAAATTCTTTTTTTTTTTTTTTTTAAACCCAGTATCAATGTTTACACAACTGAGCTAAATTATTTATACACATAACGTTACAGGTTTCACATCAGTGGCTTTTATTAGCATTCAGAGGATGAGAAGTCATACCTGACCTACTTGTAGAAACTCCTCTTGTGCCTCTCCATGGCACAGCGGGTGGTGGGGAAAGGGCAAAGGTGCCTTATGTTAGAAACCTAAAGGGAGCCCACAGACAGGAGGGGAATCAACTCTTTGAAAGGGTAGATAACTGCAGGACAAGGGGAAATGGTTTTAAGTTGAAGGAGGGAAGATTCAGGTTGGATGTCAGGGGGCAGTTCTTTACAGAGAGAGTGGTGAGGTGCTGGAACAGGCTGCCCAGAGAGGTTGTGGATGCCCCATCCCTGGAGGTGTTCAAGGCCAGGTTGGATGGGGCCCTGGGCAGCCTGGTCTGGTATTAAATGTGGAGGCTGGTGGCCCTGCCTGTGGCAGGGGGGTTGGAGATTCGTGATCCTTGAGGTTCCTTCCAACCCTGGCCATTCTGTGATTCTGTGACATGGGGGAGAATGTGTATAGATGCATTGTTTTGCAAAGTCTCATGAGATGGCAGCTACGCCTGTCCATTCAGGAGGACACGGCAGTGGAGTGGGACACCCTACACCCTGCTTGCTTACCAGCAGCCCTGGGGTTGTCCTGGGACCGTGTCCCTGCTCAGGTTGGATGTCAGGAAAAGTTTCTTCTCAGGAAGAGTGATGAGGCATTGGCACAGGCTGCCCAGGGAGGTGGTGGAGTCACCATCCCTGGAGGTGTTCAAGGAAAGGGCAGATGTGGCACTGAGGGACGTGGTTAATGGGCATGGTGGGGGTGGGCTGACGGTTGGACTGGATGATCCTAAGGGTCTTTTCCAACCTTATTGATTCTCTGACCCTATGAAGCAGAGCAGTGCTGCCAGCCTGTTGCCAACCTGAGCAGAGCTCGGTTTCCTTGGGGCAGCAGCTGTCCCCCCACCCGCAGCACCTCCTCTCGAAGGCTGCATCCATCAGGGCCACCATTCTCCAAACAGAGATGGTGCAACGGCGTGTGCTTCCCTGCCAGCCGCTTCTCAACCGACATGTCACAGGCACTTCAGATGCCTTTCTTCTTGTCTTGCAATTAATGCATTTTTTATAAAGCCCAGGCTTCAGTTTCCTTTCATGTCACCGGGAGGATATCCTTTTCCTGTTAAGCTTCAGAAGGATTTTTTTCACCCAAAGCATTAATCTCTGGTGCCCTGTAAATAGGACAGGCTGCTGGAGCTTCGGTCCTGGAGCTGCTTTAACAGATGGAGCAGCGCTGCTGCATCCCAGCCATAGGCAAGATCTGCTGCGCTGTGGTTCCTGGCAAAGTGCAAATGAAATTATCACTGGACTTTTCCCTAGCAAGTGCTCCCGAGTGCTCCATGCAGAAGCCAGAAGAGGAGCAGCAAGGCACTCTTCTGCTCCACCAGCTCCTTGTAATGGATTGAGGATTACCAGGAACGTGTATCTTCAGGAAATACTTCCTGAGGCTACACAGCATTTGATGAGGGTGGGATAATAAATGACCAAGTGTGTATCTTTGCGGATACTCCAAATTACGAGTAGTGGTTCGTCCTTCCTATGTGTTGTTTCCATAGAAGCAGAGCTTAACCTTTTAAATGAAGATTGTAAAGGCACCTAATTCAATTAAAATTAGGCTTCAAGCATATCAGCACTTAATGCTTGTGTGATTGGACATGGCCATTGTTCTGACTGACAGGCACTTGTTTCCATCAGAAGCAGAAAAACAGCACTGTGGTGGCAACCTCTGGGGTTTTCCACGTTTCCTTGTACAGTCCATGACTTGCTAGCTCATTCCTTTGTGACAGGACAAGGGGAAATGGTTTCAAACTAAAAGAGGAGAGATTTAGACTGGATATAAGGAAGAAGTTTTTTACAGCAAGGGTGAGGAGGCAACAGGAGGTTGCCCAAAGAGTGGATGCCCTGTTCCCAGAGATGCTCAAGGTCTGCTGCATGGGCTCTGAGCACCTGATGGAGCTGTAGGTTCATTGCAGGACAGTTGGACCAGACAGCCTTTAAGGGTCCTTTCCAACTCAAATGATTCTGTGATCCTATGTTTCGATGAAACAGGGAATCCAGCACAGAACACAGAAAGGCACATTCAATTAAAGTCATTTATTGTAGGGTTGCTTTTTTGTTTTTTTTTTCTGGATTGACAGAAGGTTTCCCAGAGATCGGTAACACAACACAATGTTATACACCAGCTCACAACTAGTCCCTTGTCGCTTTATTAAGAACATAGTAATTTAAAAATATCTAAATATTTACATATTAATAAAACTTATATACAGAAGATCGAGACATTTTTACCTAAATATGGAATGATTTTTTTTTTTCTTTCTAATAAACCCTATAAAAAGATTTCTGAAGAAAGTCTGCACAGTAGTCACAGTTAAATAAACACAAACGCAATCTCCAAAATGTACAAAACGCAGATTCCATCGCCCAAGTGTTACGAGACGGACACGACGGGGCGCCGCCGCCCCTGCCCAATGCACACAACTCCAAGCCATGATGAAGGAAAGACTCTGTTAAGGTTTGCAGTGCACATTCAATATATTCCACAGTTTTAGAGAAGACACGGCCATTCCTAAAAGTACATCATTGCGGGTGGGGAGGGCTGGGTGCCTGGCTTCTCGGGTGCTGGGTGAACGCATCACAGTGTTGTTTGTGGGCATTCAGCAGCTTTGGAGAAACAGACTTAAGGGTTGTTACGAGAGAAATAAATCTTTAAATACTTAAAAAAACAAACAAACAACTCTGTAATAGCACTTCAGTTGAAACACTCAAAGGCCAAGTAGTTTCAAAGGAGGAAAGAAAAGATGCGCCTAAAATACACAAAGGAAAATGAAACACAATGGTGAAGGCTATAGCAATCTCTCCCTCAAATCGCAGGGAACGCACTGGAATTCTCTGCTGGTCGAAGACCTTCTCGACTTTTTCCCTACGATTTTAAAGTGAATTTAGTGCTGTTGAAAGGTGCAGAAGCAGCAGTTTGCATGGAGGGCTGTGTAAGATTTTAGCTTCGCCCCGACCTGAAAGGATGAACAGTTTCCATGCCTAAGAGGGCAGTGCAATTTCTTGATCAGTTCAGTGATCTTGACTACTGAGATAGCAACAGAGTGCCAGGCTGTGCTAGGATTTATCTGCTTTGAAATGGGTAAATAGTGTCCCCAAGGGCAGTAGTTGAAAAGTCACAGTGCGCAGACTCCTTTTCTGGAAATTAGCAAAGTAGAACATCTTGAGATTGAGGCGGTAGGAAAAGATGGTGGACAAAGGAGGAGAGAATGGTCTCCTCCTGTAATCTGCACTACAAAACCACTCAAGAGCCATCACACTGGCACCACACAGGGGAATTCCAGCTTGCTTGATCTGCAACTTATCCCTGTTATTACCCAGAAATGGATGCCAATGAGACAGATCCTGCTCTCTTTAGTCCTAAATCCAATCCAACCGTGCCCTCTGAATTACAGGTATATATGACTGGCCATTTGTACCACAGGTCTTCAAACAGATAAATAGCAGCCAGACAGGAAAGGTGGGTCTGCATATGCACAAGAACAAAGTGCTTCACCTCTTAAGTGCTCATCAAGCCCCTTGGGTTTGGGAAGGAGAGAAATGCCACCATGGTCCCAGGGGAGGGGAAGAGTCATCCAACTGTGTTTATTCACCTCTGCATAGCTTAAGATGAAAGAAACACTGCTGGCAATCATACAGCCATGTGGAATGGTACAATGGCAAAGGGAAAACAAAAGCAAGAGAATGACTTCAGTTACAGAGGATACCACACCAATTAACTAATGCACGATATGGAGAGAAATCATCTTTAATTAAGCTGAAAAACAGCGAAACAATCTGTCGGTTTTGTTATTTGAAGTGACTGGGAAAACGTGTGAGACAACACAAACGTGAAGGGAGAACGGTGTGGACATCCACGTGCTGCAGGATCCAACATCCCAACGTTGACCTCACATGGACATTACTTAAACGACAGGAGGTTCATATCTGCTAAAACCACTGGCGCAGGATGTAAAATTTAAACAGGAAAATCGAGGCTTGCATCTATCAGGCTATCTGTTGTGGTGTCAAACAGGTTACCTGAAGGAAGGAAGGGTTTGAAGCCATTAGCTTAAAAGTAAAAGCACGTTTAAGAAATCAGTTCAGTCATTCATTTAAAAGCAAAGCGAAAGATAGAAATGACATTATGAATTCTGATCTCAATTTCATACAATGCCTGCAGGGATGGGGCATCCACAGCCTCCTTGGGCAACCTGTTCCAGGGCTTCACCACCCTCTGTGTGAAAAAATTCCTCCTGATATCTAACCCAAACCTCCCTGTCTCAGTTTAAGACCAGTTTGGACCCTTGTCCTATCACTCTCCACCCTCATAAACAGCATCTGTTTATTTCCCCGTCCTGTTTATGTGCTCCCTTCAAGTACTGGAAGGCCACAATGAGGTCTCCCTGGAGCCTTCTCTTCTCCAAGCTAAACAAGCCCAGTTCCCTCAACCTTTCCCCATAGGAGAGGTGCTCCAGCCCTCTGATCATCTCAGTGCCCTCCTCTGGACCTGCTCCAAGAGCTCCATGTCTTTCCTGTGCTGGGGGCCCCAGGCCTGGATGCAGTACTGCAGATGGGGCCTCACAAGAGCTGAGTAGAGGGGGACAATCACCCATCAGAATGAACAGACAGCGACTGCTTCATTCCTCCTAGAGTAGAACCAACCGCCTAAAGAAAGCAAACTGAATGGATTTCCTTTCATACTGAGCAACGTTTCTCCACTGAAAATAAAGCACACCCCACTTGAGATGTGAAGTGCTGCATTAGGCCACGACGCAAACTGCACTGCAATGTTTCCCGCTTTGAAGTTACGTTTCTGAAGGAGTGAAAAAAGCACCACATGAATTTTAAACCCGGAGTGCATATTTTTGGATGTTCTTTGGGAAAAAAATGAGGAAAAAAAATTCCTGCACCACGGCAGTCTAAATGCATATGGCAGAATGAAAAAAAGCAGGTGTGCTCTATGATTATAACCCATCTTTTTGATACCACTTTAAGAATGTGTTTTTCTTTCTAAACAGAACAATGAAAGATGGACAGAAGAATTACAACTACAGTGCTGAGAACACAGGGCAAACAGGAGACAGACATCAATCAGTGTAAGAGGCAAATACGACCCAATGAAAAAGGAAAGACTCATACAATCATGCATTGAAAGGATAAAGATTTATATTACAATAAAGGATTTATATTTAAGGTTTCAAAAAGGTGGGTTTTTTTTTTTTGAAGCTTGGTTTTCTTGATATTGTATTTCGAGAGAAAAGGAGACAACCTACATAGAATTGGATTGCTGCTATTTTCTTATCATTGGTTTCTTTACCAAGAGATTGTTATCATCTTTTCACAAAGCTGTATCACCTCTGGACCTGAGGATTGGGATGTTACTGTCTCTGATTCTTTTAGGGATATAAAAAATATTTCTCATCTTGAAATTAACCCCAATGTGGAGAATCCATCCAAAACCTTCGGCACAGCTGCGGCCCAGAACACAAGTGTAAGGAGGGCTCGTGGTCTTGGGTGCATATCTATTCCAAATGTGATTTTCAAGATGAGAGTTGATGAAAAGGGTGCTACAGCCACCTTAAATTGGTTCCCACATGCAGAACTCACGGTTATGCCTTTTTTTTAAACATGAAATCCAGATGCTCAATGTAAATCACAGACAAAATAAGATGAGTTTTGTTTTTGCAATGCCAGCTGATACGGACAGATTCTAAAAGCTGCCATGTCTTCAGCCTGATAAAGAGATTTCTCACAGCTTTCAGGTTCCCACATCACTCAGAAACTGACCAGTCTTCCAGTTCCACACAGCGATTAGCCTGGGAGCTGTCTGATCCATCTCAGCTCAGGTTTGGACACAGACTTCAGCTTAAGCAACAGCTGTGTCAGTACGTGCAACAGCTGGAGCTGTGGAAAACCTGAGCTTTCATAAGGTTTGCTAGAGACAAATTCTTCTGGTATTTTCTTGAGATTCATCTGTTATTCCGCCAAAGTTCCTAGCAAGTTTCCCTGCCACAGTTCTTCCAATTCTCTTTAAACACCCTTCAATCATCAGCCTTCAAAGCAAAGGCACTCTTAGCATCTCCAGTGATTTTAAAAGAGGAGCATGATTCCTGTTCTGAAGTGCTAAAATATAATTGGGCACAAACACCTTGCCCAGTTTTGTGAGAATGTACCAGCTATGTTTTTACAAGGATTTCAAGTTCCAAAGGACAGTTTTGCAAACAAAACACTCCTCCCCTCCCCAAAGCCCACAACTTTGCTACCTGTGGGCCCAGAGGGAGCACATTCAAACCTGGCTATAGGCACCTGGATAAATTAACTGCACTCAGAGCATAGTTCTCCCTGTGCCAAAGAGTCACTTACTTCCAAATACAAACTTAGCTCATCTGAACTACCTCCTTACCCTGCCAACTATGAAGAGAGATGAGAGCAAGCAGACTTTCAACTCAAAGTGCCAGCCATAGGCTGTGATCTGCAAATGTGCAGGTTGAAGAATTGTAACTCCAATAGTCCATGTGTACCCAGACCCCTTTATAATGTCACTGGGCAGCATTGACTGAGCAAAAAAGACAGATGAAAGACAGCCTAGTTCCTCTTTTTCTGCACAAGCAGTTCCCATTGATTCAGTTCACACTGGGTGCTTTCACTTCACAAGTTTGTCCAGCTCTTGAAAGCCAAGGGGACAGACTCTTTAGCTGGGTCTGCTGCATAGGAAAAGGGGAAATGGATTCAAACTAAAAGAGGAGAAATTTAGATTGAGTATTATGAAATAGTTTCTTCCAGTAAGGGTGGTGAGGCACTGAAACAGGTTGCCCAGAGAGGTGTTGGATGTCCTGTCCCTGGAGAAACTCAAGGTCAGGCTGGACAGGACTCTGAGCAACCTGATCTAGCTGTAAGTGTCCCTGTTCACTGCAGGGAAATTGGGCTAGATGACCTTTAAAGGTTCCTTCCAACTCACACAATTCTACGATTCAAGACCACCTGATGTCCGTCACAAGCAGCTCCAACACCCCACCATTTCTCCCAGTCCATCCTTGTGCAAGACTCTATGCAATCTGATTCAGTCTGCTTTCACCACACCACATTAACCACTGCTTGTTCCTGATTTTTCTCAAAATAGCTTCTGGAGATGTCAGCTATCAGGGCAGCCACTGCACAAACACACAAACTCTTCCCCAAAGAGTTTTCAAGCCAAACAGAGAAGACAGCTTGAATACCTCACATTAACGGTCTCTTTTAATGCCCTGCCAGTAGCATCCTTTATAAAACCAGCTGTACTAAGACAGGGAAAGACCTCTGTAAAAGTTGCATTTCACCTCTTATGTGACACTCCTAGATAGAAAGCATCTGTATTTTGGCTCTCCATTGTAATTATTGTCATTAGACTGTCTGCATATCACTTTAAATCACTTGCTTCCAAGAACAGTATTGTATTACATCGATATGCACTATAAAGAGACACTTGCACACATATAATAATGGGTGTGAGTCAAATGCCTGGCGTGCAGCCTGTGAGCATCACCTCCCCCACCAAAGCAAATCGTAGCGTGGTTTATTTAGGCATGCTTCCACAGATAGTATGGAGACATACGCATGCAGAGGGACCCTGCAGCTCAAGAACTGTGCGTGCACAGATGCTCACAGGTGTATAAGCAATCAGACTGATAGCAGAGTGGAAAGAGAGCCATCTTCTCTGCCCCAACCATCTCATCATGCCCATTCCATCGATAACGTCAGATACAAGTAGTAGCTACAGAAGCTGCCTCCAAAGAAAAGCACAGCAATCCGATAATTCTGCTCCTTAACACGATTATACCAGCACTGAAAAGATAACACCACGTAGCATTAGCGAGCTTTATTAGGGTGCTCTTTCAATGGAATTGCTTCCCTCCCTGATAAAAGAAACAAACAGGATGTCACTTGGAAGAGATCTTCCAAACTAGAGCTTCCTGTGTCTATTATCACAATAGTACCCTGAAATATTCAGTGGCTGGCCAAGAAAGCAGCACGGCGGCTCACAGCAAGCGTGTGCTCCCAGCCCCCACTGGGTCTCTGCCAGCACAAGACTATAGCTGCTTGTCCTCACCGCTGCTTCGCTGGTCCTATTCCTTAGTAACTGCACGTGCTCTGACAGCAGGATTTCAAGCAGCCACGCTGGGCGGCTGGCAGCTGCTGCTCTGGCCCCAGCGTGCAGCAGTGGTGGATGAAAGCTCCTTCTCCAGCCCTTATGTAAGAGAGATTAGGAAGTGATCCTGCTGAGGCAGATGCTGCACTGCTGCTCTCCCAACCACCCTGAGCCTCCAGGTCCTACGTCCTGCGCCCAGCAGCCCAATGCCAGTCACGTTCTGATCGTCACACAAATGGCACAGCTGATCTCCAGCCACCCTTTGTTGTTACACCTTCGGAATCTGATTATAATGAACTGCAATCCTTGACCCTATTCATCTGCTAAAAGTCTCGTAGCATCTGTAGCATCCCTCCCTTTTCCCTTGGCTTTGTCAGCATTAAGCTGCAACCTGGTGAAATGACAGGGAAACGATCATCTCCTTAAGACACTGCCTCCAATCAGCTGTGGGAGCTCGTCTCCTACCATCAGGGCAATTATTAATGAACTGACTCTTAATGAGAGAGTGGTTCAGATTTCACCCTCAGTGCAAAAATATTTACTCCCAAGGCCACTGCTTTTAATAACTGTCAGGCTTTGAGATGGTGTGAATGCTCTTCAAGAAGAAGTAAAACAACACTTACCCACCATAAAACTGTCTTCGCAATCCTTGTGTACACGTAAGATATTGCTAATACCATGCACAACTGAATGGAAGCTTCAACAGAAATCACTGTGTCTGTCCCTACCAATAACACTGTTAGGAATTCAAAAAACTCCCAGAAATACTGGGGGTGAGCAAAGTCCCTGTTTAGAATACACACAGTAACTTACCAGCCTTATTAGCTTAGCTGCTATCACGAACCTTGAGGTTTTACAAATGTGAAATAGAGGGGGAAATTGTAAGATTCTGGTGCATTTGTTTTTTAATGCAGAGCATTGAAAAGTCAGATAGCTGGGTCCTCTGTACAATTACCCGACGGTATACGGCATGCCAGGATTATTGGAAAATGCTGCTGTGCAATAAACAAATACACACATTGGAAGCTGATAAAAATTTTAATGCATTTTACCTGTTTGTAGTAAAGAAATGTCCGGCTTCTCATCATAGTCAGTTGGCTCTGCTGATTACAAATATAAACAAGAAATCTCATTACTTTTACTGAATACAGGCATGCGATTAAAAAGCTACATAGTGTAGAGTGATTTTGCATTTTCTATCTACTTTCCTCAGCTTCAATTTGCTATTGCTCAGTTAAAAACTCACTGCTCGGAGAAAAAGGTCATAAAATAAAAATGCAAACTTAGAAGAGGGAGTTTGGTATTAATAAACGGCTGTGCCAGAAACAGGCTGGAGTGACACTGTCTCATTTTAAGGTTTCAAGACACGAGGGGAATTGCAACCATTTCATAAAATCACAGAAGAGAAGTTTGTTTGTTAAGCTAGCCCCAGCAGCCCTTGGAATAGGAACCCCCAAGGCTGATGCTCGATCCTCCTGCAGCTGCCATCATCAGATTCCTAAGGGAAAAGTGTGAATATTCTCATTTCTGCAGCCAAACTTCCTGTGACCGCAGGCAAGCTTGTTTTGGGAGGAACAGATGTGCCAGGGCAGAATGACTTGGCAGTGGGCACCCAACATGCTTACACAAACATGTAGCCATGCAGGTACACAATCAATTACAATGTAGATACACACACACGCTTTTAATCCATAGCTTATGCAAAATTTGACTTAATTTAGCCCACAGAAAAGAAGGCTGAAAGCTTAGTTTGTAAAGCTTAATTTGTTCATCTCATATTTGTCACCAACCAAAGGTATGCATAAAGATAGTTCAAATGGCTCAGCAGATGTGCAGCAACTTGTTAGACCGCCGTATTCTAGTGTGTGTGTTTGAACCTAGAGTACATTACAGGCAGCCACCAGGAATTAGGAGTCAAATGTACACAAGTCCTATTCAAAATCCTACTACCTTTGTCTTTTGACAACTCAGCATATTTTAGGCCTTTAGAACGCAATATCTTCAAGAGCACTTCAGCAAACTAGCTATAGTCATAGAGAAGAAGTCCTTGACATTGCACGTGATCACTGCGGTGGATATACATCTTATCACATCCATTCACTGCACATTATTCATTGACATCAAGTTTCAACCGAGGCTATAGATGCACTGAGCAACTTCATTTAGCTTCCACTTGAAACTAAGCTAACTGTCCTGGACTGTTTATTATAGCTACACAAAAGGATATCAAGTTGTTGCCGTTACGAGGATATCAAAAGAGAAACTCATCTAGCTGCTGAGCTACATTAGAGTTCCCTTCCTTCTGCTACCCCTTGCTACCCTTTCTCACTTGCTGGATGCCAGTTTAGTTTTTAGTTATATGCTCTTTACTCGGTTCCACAAAATAAGTTGCATTAAAGAATCACTGCACCATCTGGGTTGGAAAAGACCTTCAGCACCAACATGACCCCCCAGATCTCAACACTAAACCACGTCCCTCACTGCCACATCTATGTGTCTCTTAAATACACCCAGGGATGTGGACTTCATTATGTCTCTGGGCAGCTTAGTCCAATTCTTAGCCAAACTCTCAGTGAATAAATTCTTCTTAGTATCCAGCAGCACCTTGAGACCATTTCCTCATGTCCTATCAATCGCCCCCTTAGAAAAGAGATCAACAGCCTCCTCACTACAACCTCCTTGCAGGCAGCTGTAGAGAGAGGAAACAAACAAGAAACCCCTAGTACTAAACAGCTTTCATCCCTGGAAGGTTTAAGTGGAGAGCCTTGACAAGTACATGACATGGACGTACAAGTTACCCTGATTCTGCCTTGAACCTTTTTCTGCTTCCTATGAGAAGGTGGTACACTGAACAGAAAGAAATTAAGTGCCTGGATGTATTAAAATCATTAATTTTGGAAAGAACATGGAGCTGAATGAATGAGAAAAGAATCACAGAATCATTAAGGTTGGAAAAGATCACTAAGATCATTTAGTCCAACCATCGACCCATCATCACCAACATGCCCACTAAATCATGTCCTTCAGTGCCACATCTAAGAGATTACATGATTCTCTGTCTCTGCATTCGTATGGATTGGACTAACAGTGATGGATGAGCAAGTGTGGTGCAGTGAGCAGCTGAGAAAAACAGACAGGATACATCCTACTGCAGTGGCATTCTGAGCCCAACTTCTTGCTGTGTTATGAAGAAGCACCTGCACCAAGCAGTTCTGCAGCACGGTTATTCAGCATACAAGAGATGAAAAACAGTAAATGGTCCCGTGGGACTCAAGCTATGAAAATGGAGGAAGCAAGAGGTGAGCTTTGGGAATGGTCTGAAAATCTTCCATCTATCCATATCAGAGTCTGTGCCAAATACACTGTGCACTAAAGTGGTAGAATTTACTGGAAGTCTCAGCAGAAACTCTTGCAGACGTGGCTATCCCTCTACTTCATTGCCCTTCTCACACCTGGCTGAACTTGAAGGAGAATGAAGTAACACAGTAACAAGTGGAGGCCAGGAAGTCCCTGCCTTTCAGAAGGTAAGGACTTGAGTCTCCAAACTTGCAGAACCAACAGTGATGATGACAAAAGTAATTACCTGGCCATTTTAATCTGGCACAATACCACAGTACTGATGGCACTAAAGAGGAGATAAAGCTCGTCACCAATTGTTCCAAGCTCGTTCCTCATGCCAGCACAAACATTCATGCAGTCACAGAGGTCAGAACTAGTTAAAAACTGACAGTACAGTTGAATGAATGCTTTTTCCAGTGCCAAAAAGGGAGTGGAAACAAGACAGAAACACTGAGAACCTACTTACTCTTCTCAGTAGCTGTCTGCATTTGTTTTATGAAACTGGATACGTAACCACAGCTTCAAGCAAAGTATGATCAGTAAAGCTCCTGCTCACAAACGCATGACAAACACCCTGACCTCCTAACATGGATGTAAACCAGCATCTTCTCACATTGGATTCCAAGCAGGAAAGGTTTGCCTTCAACAACCACACCCTGAGACTGCCAGCCAAAATTCAAGTGTCTTGAGTCAGCTTGCAAAACGAGGCAAACAGGAATAGACCCTGCTGAGGTAATTCTGAGACTCCTTTCTGTCCTCTGGCTGCATGGCTAGGGCTCAGTAGCTCTTGCAAAACAATCACAGTAGTCATTTCCTTAGAGGTCTTTTCTTCCCCAAAATTGTTTAGATGTACATGTTCATTAATTGTACACTTGCTGTTTTGCTCCTTGTACTGAAGTACATGCATGCCTAGGGCTGGAAAGATTATCAGTGCAGTCATTTATTTTGATATTGCTATCTTTACTCAGATACTGGCCACAAAAGCACTGTACCACATCTTGGACTCGCATCTTACATCCTTCCTGGTGATGCGTGTATTGCTAAGCAAAAAATCAACGCCATCTCCCACAACACAGAGATGTTACATCAAAACCACAGACCAGGGAAATCAGAAGGATGAAGAGAAATAGATAGCAAACAAAACAAAACAAAAAATCCTCATACAAGGCAATGGAAGCAGCAATTTGAACAAGGACTGGGGAGAAAAGACACACTTCTTGAGTGTAAGCATTTTTTTCTCCCTTTGTTCCTACTATTTTACATTGCAACAAGGTAACATTGATTTTAAACAATTCAAGGATGAAATGTCATGGAATGCAATTTATTTAAATTAATTCTGCCTGAAAAGTTTCAGCATGTTTTCCAACAGTGCTATGTTTTCCTTTATTGGCTATGGCAATCAAAAGCTTCCAGGTTAAGCACAATGTAATCACTTTGCATGAACAGCTCTCACCCTCAGTTTCAGGAGCGTTAGTCATACAACGTCAGCTTTCCTGGCTATGCAATGGACAGACATTACAGCATAATGGCTTACACTCTTCAGAACATAAAAAGGGAGGAAGATCTGACTGTAAGAGATGTGCTGCCCCTGACCTACTGCTTATTAATGGATGAAGAGTTTAGTAATCAAAAGGCTTGGATACTATGTCTGGCACGGAGCGACATGAACAGCAAGTCAGTTCCCTCTTATTTTGCCCTCAGATCATTATGCTAATGGTCGTCTGTCTCTGCACTGACACTGGCAAGGCCACCAGTCCCCTACCCCAATTCTCTCTGTAGGTGGAAAGACCACACAATGGGAAACACAATGTGTAAATTACAAGGCAATTTGCACAGTCATTCACGCCGCTTTCAAAGAGGAAATATTACACACGTGGCTCCCTTTGACTTCTTCCCTTCCAGGCCACTTTGCATCTGATCCCACAAGCCAAGCAGGCTCAGGTTCTGTGCTGGGAGGAGACAGATCTGGCACTACGAAGCTGTGCCTCAGTAGGCTGTGCTGTTGGCATGATATGGGCCCAACAGTCAGGGCTGAAGAATATTATCATACTATTTAATTTTAATTATAACATCTGTTTGTAACATTAACCTCACAGTCTCTTCTCCCCTTTGTGACAGCCAACTTGTGAAATTTTGAACAGACTGAACAAGGCCAATAAAAATTTAATGGCAGTGACAGCTTTATTCTCAGATCTAACAATTAAAAAAAAAAAAAACAACCTACCCAAGTCTCAGATCTCAGGCAATAATCTAAAAGAACTGAGAAAAAGCCAAAGCAAAATAAATAAATTAAAAAATAGTATTTCCAGCCATGAATACTGTCACTGATTTAGAACTTAAATGAATTTTTATTTGCCTTAAGATAACAACCTTTCAGAATTTACACTGGGGAACTATTTTCTAGAAAGCACAATTTTAAGTGGTTTTTTTTGTTATTAGCTTTCCAAGTGGAGAGCTTTTCTGTACCTAATTCTAGGAGATGAGCAAAACATGATAAATAAGGTTGAAGCTGGACAGCATCTATCATCCAGTGATCATGATTTCATTTAATTTGGGAATACTCAAGAGAATATACCCCAGAGAAACAGGTACAAAAAGCAGATCCAACACACTCGTCACTAGAATTCTTTGAAATTATTAATATCACTGAAAGCTAGAGCAGGTTTTATGTTATCAGACTGAAATAATGTTTCACAGGATAAAGCAGAGAGGGCTATTCATGAATGCAGTGTCTTACTATGTGGTTTGAAATGAAAAACTAATCAGAGGATGGAGTAAATGGCTCAGGGGAAGGCAAACAGAATGGAAAACCTGCCTCTCATCTCTTCTGCTGCTCAAATTTAGCACAACTCAGTGGTGACTAAAAAGTTGTTTTGTGGATTCTGGGAAATAAATAGACAAAATTGAACTTTTCCAAGTAAAGCTTGTGCATCAGAACAAACTAGAAACAGATTTTGAGTTGGCTTAGAAAGTCTCAGATTAACGCTGGCTCAGAATTGTTCTTCAGGCACCTTAGCCCACAACAAGTTTAGATGGCAGGTTTCAGTAAGTGCAGGCAGAACAGAGAGGATGATTTGGGAGTAGGACACTTGCTTGGCCTCCGGTGTCAGCTTCTATCTCACTCTCTTGTAGGACTGAAGTTCCTACTTCACCCCTCAGTATTTCCCAACACTTTATTTATGGGTCTGGCCCTCAGTGATTGCTCTCCATACGGATTTCCAGGGGACTACAAGTATTCAGCTCAGTGGCTGTGACTCCACTAGTCTTCAGGTTCTCAAAAGCAACATTTTGGGAGCCAGAGAACATCACCTCCCCTCAGCAGATCAAACCTCTCTCCATCCCTGCCCTCCTCTTGCATCTTGGCTGCTGTAAGTTACATACAGCTTTCACAGTTTCAGAAAGCCTTCACAATTAACAGTTAAAATTTGCAGTTTGCAGACCAAATAGACAGGTTTACCCTTGTAGACCCACCTATGCACCTGCTAATTGCCATTGCTGGAAACAAAACACGGGACTGGACAGATCTGTTGTCTGATCAGATCTACATCTCTCATCAGAAGCTCATGATTACAATGCACAAGTACTAAAAAAATTTGTTTCAACAAGATGAAAATGTTATTGCAACCCGTTCGCTCCTCTTTGCTGCTACCTACTGCTTTTCCACCACAAAGGCCAGCAAAGCAAATGTAAACACTTCTCATTTGCTTCAGTGCAAGGTCAGGTTGGGTTAATCTGAGCCATCACTGCAACAGTGTGGATGAGCTTGCACTGGAAGCAGAATGCAGAGTGCTGGCATGATCAGCTCTGGCAGCTCCGTCACAAAAGAGGGAACCTCTAAGCAGTGGACAGGAACAACAGCAGCACATTCAATCACTCCTGCTAGATAAAAAAGAACACGTCTGCCTGTGTCCAAATAGCAGAAAGAAAACAGGGAACAATCAATACACTAAACATCAGAAAAAAATAGAGCTTTTCTAGCAATCCAGTTAGCATGCACTTCTTTTAGTAAATAAGGTATGTTTCTGCTAGGTACATTTCTGTTTACTTCTCATTCCCATAATGGTTGTGTTAGCTTCCCTCTGCAGGGATTGGAACTTATCTAATTCAGTTTCACCGAACTCAGCTTCATTTATTTTTCTTTACAGTCTTGCTAACTTGGAGACAATATCCTCTACTCAGATGCTTCCATCCCAGGAAAGGACCAGAGATGAAAGTGCCATTTAAAAGGTAAAAGCAGAACACCACTGTCATTTTAATTAATATCCTGCAGAGGCATCAAAAAGTCCTTAAAAAAAGGATGAAAAGAAAATAAAAATCTAAACAAAATTAGGTCAATCCTCTTTCCTGAGGGTCTTCTGCAGACAACCCAAAGGCCCTCTATTTCCCACATCCCACACTGTGCTCTTCACCTACAGAGCCTAATACTGGGCTCCTGTCCTGCCCAGCCAGCCTTTGAAAGGGGCAGAAAGCAGTCATGTTGTACAGTATCAGTAATCTGACACTATCGTTAACAAGATTATCTTGTATCCCTCTCTCTTCCCTCCCCCAACATGCACAAGAAACCCTTATTAAAGCTAGTGATGGTTTGCTGTTCTACTCAGGGAAGCTTATGCTACTGAATAATCTGCATTTCCCTCCCAGTCCTGTGTCAATTCTGAAAATGCTGACTGACACATGGAGCAGGAGAGAAACATTCTTCTGTTTTCCTGTGGTCTGACTCACCATCCCTGTCTTAGCCACTTGGTTTTCCATTCCTTAAGCTCACAGATGCTAACAGGTGTCAGATGCTCCAAGGGAGAGATGGGCAGGAAATACGACCACAGGAGAGCCTTAAGAAACACTAGAAGGGTGAAGTGATCTACTGCCTGATTCAGTAGTCAGCAATCCTGCCCATGGCACAGGGATTGGAACTAGATGGTCTCTGAGTTCCCCTTCAACCCAAGCCATTCTATGATTCTATGAAAAGTAAGCGAAGCCCCTTGTAGGACAGGCGGCACGAAGATGAGAATGAGGCTAGTTAAGCTTTATGAAGCAATTACACATCTCTTAATCAGTGCTACTGCTTTCAGGTTCCTATGAATTCCACAAGGGATTTGGAGACTGCACACTGCTGTCTGTCAGCTCAACTGAGAGCTCATGGGCCAAGTGCTGGAACTGCATCACTGCTGAGCTAACTGTGCTGGGCCAGTCCCACAATCAAGCACGCATGCTGTCCTACAGAGCTAAGTAACTGCTGCAAATCCCTACTGAAATTACTTGTTAGTCACCACAGGCAAGCTCACTCCTATGCTTTGGAAGGTCCTCATAAGCACAGTCAGTGTGGGTCATTCTTTTTTTTTTTGCTACAGTCACGTCAATTCTTTCATGAGGAATGTGACCTTCCAGACACACACAGTTTGGAAGGAAAGGTAATTTAGGTTATGTCCTAACAGTACAGAAGTGGCTTGTCAGGCCAAGTAACACAGAACTTAAAACCTTCCACCTGCAACCTGGCTGGATGAGATAGTTTATAACTCAGATTCCATAGAACACTAGGAAGAATGCTCTTAACTTTTAGGTTGCCCTGAGAATCAGGCATTGAACTCGATAACCTTCATGGGTCCCTTCCACTGCAGGATATTCTGAGATTCTAAGAAGTTACAGTTGCTAATGGAAGGAGGTTGGAGACAACATTTGAGGAAGACTCTAAGCTAACTTGGTTGCAAAAACAGCTCAACTCGTTACCCTGTACTTGACACAGAAACCTGCTAAACCTGAGAGATCAAATTTTCATAGAGTGAACATACACAACAGTCACATTTAACAAGAAAGACAATTCTGTGGACAGAAAGGCTGTACAATTTTAATTTTACTCTCATATGTTTTTCCTAATATTTTTATACATACCTGAGCCTCTTTTTAATCGCCTTCTTGCCAGTTTAATTTGATCCTGAAGAATTTGGACCCAGTCCCTAGGACCAGGAAGTTTATCCACATGGTTGGCAGTGCAGTATCTTTCTGTGAAGACTGAAATAAAAAGATACCATCTTTTTTAAAAGTGCCACCACAATTGAAATAAAGGAGGCTGAAGAGGATTACAAAGAAAATGTACCAAAACATCAACTGCACAAAATTGAATTGCCAAATCTGGTCAAACTCAGTGTTTCATGATTTTATCATTCAGAAGTCATTTGTCTATATAACTATCATAGCTATTACTTACAAAAGCCTATCCTAAAGAAACAGTTAATACCATCCATGTGACATCCATGAATTTCACACTAGAATATCACCAGAAAATAACACCGTACTTTGAACTGAGTCTCCAGATGTGGTAGGCACTTCTAACTGCTGCTTTCCATATGGTGTAAGAAGAGAACTGAACATCTGGTCACCTGCTGGGCTCTCGGACTCATTTCTAAGTCTACAAGCAAACTGATGGAAGACACAGTTCCCACTATGGCAGAAATCCCTGCAGTTGTTGCTCTCAGACCACCAAATTAGATGGAATAGCATTCTTATAAAGCCACTAAAAGAAAGACTTCCTTGTGAAAAATACTGTTCATCATACAACTGAGAGGTGTGTGAAAAGGGCAAAAATACAAAAAATATTATTACTGCTAGTATTGCTATTGTAGGCTTGGTCATGGTTCTCAGAACCAACTGTCTATTATGACCAACAGATAAAGAAAACTGGTTCCAGATGGAGGAATTTGTAATCCTTGGGAATAAATGTTGCACAAATGGGACGAGGGAACATGTAGCAAAAGTTGACCATTTGGTATTTTTGCACACAGAGTTTTGACACAGTGCTGGCTGGTAATTCCAAAGGAGTCCAAAGCAATTGCACTCTCCAAATTCTTTTCACATTCACAATTTGACAAAATCACTGCATGAAAAGCATTAACAATACTTTTCTCTGTAGTCTGTTCAGCAAAGACGAACAATCACTCAAGGAGCTCAGAGAAGTCAGCACAGTCTCACATGGTGCCAGCATTCAATCTTAGAGGCTCTTTGAAGGCAGAAATCATCTTTCCCTTCTGAATCCATGTGGTCCTTAACACAATGGGAGCCTGACTGATGTCCTAAGTCTTGCACTTCGAACATGTGACTGTAGATTGAGTTGGTGACCATGGCCTGGGGGTCATCCTGTGACAACAGGCTGTAGCCAGGTTGTCTATTGCAAGCTCCTAAGGTGGAATTACGACCTTGCTTGCTGTGGTCTGCATGGGAAACTAAATCATGGCAGCCTTGGAGAGCCTGTACATTGCCTTGCTAGTTCTTCTCTTCAATGAAATTCAGAATAGATTAGGTTGCTCGATGCGTGGTTATGAAAGCACGAGGACTGAAAAAAAAATAAGTGGGAATGTAGTAGGAAAAAGGCAGAAGTGGGAGCTCATCATTCCAGCTCATCTGAGCTGTACTGTGGTAACCACCCGTGCCATAAATCAGATCAAATCCCCAGCAGATCTGAAGACAGCTCATTGACTTCTGCAGGAATGGACCTTCATGCAGGGCTGGATTTTTTGTCAAGAACATAATGAAAAAACAACTACCTCTGATCTTTGTTCTCTCTCTCCCCACTCCTCTGAGTTGTAGGTGAAAATTGATGCAGCTCACAAGAGAAACTGATTGTTCAGGAGAAATGCTGCAAGTGATTCAACAAGTGCCACTGAATATCCAAAGTCAGACAGAAGAATTTCTCGCTGGCTAATCATTCTGTTGCAGCAGTATTAAACTACTCATAAAGATGGTAGTTAAAATGCTTCCAGACAAGGAGAATTTTCAAGCCAGCAGTCTCTCCTTTGAGTTCTCTGCTCATGTCTGTCATGAATACAGCCTTGTCTCCACTTTTGTATCTCTGACATGGGGAAGGACTGAAGTGCCACTAAAGGATGTCTTGAACACGTGGCAGAGGAACGTCCTAACGAAATAATGCAAACAACATGTTGTTGTCCTCATGGAGATTTCATACTGACTCAGTCATTTCTTGGAACAAATGAAACCACAGTGTCCGACAGCCCAAGGAAAAAGGGTGCTGCTGGAGCCAGGCTGAGTAAAGATCCACAGTACATCAGCCCTTAGCATTGTATTCCATCACAGCTTCTAAGAACAGGCTCCCCTAACACAGATCATGAACTAGAGTTTGGGCAATACTTTAAGTAGCAGTGAAGATTATTATTACAGTGGTGTCCAGCAGTACCACCACAATTTTTATCTGTGAAACTACAACTCCTTCCTTTCTTCCCCACTGTCACCAAGGGAAGAGGCTGAACCAGACTTCAGAATTTGCTCTGGTAATACAAACTTAGCTACTGAGAAACACTGTTCTCCATAGTGGGTGATGACTGCTCTTTTAATAGTGCTACTGCATCCACTGAAAAGCAATTTTTTACTACAGTGCTGGTCCAAGTAGTGGATTTTTTTTAATAATTTTGATTCATTTCTCTTCCATTTAAAGCTTTTTGGGAAGACCAAGATACAGATGAAGTGAATTCAACTTCAGATCTTCACAGAGGATTGAGCTCAAGGAAAAAAAAAGGTAGTGTGTTAAGACTATGACACAGACACCTTACTAAAGAATCACACGGGTTAAAAGGGACCTCTGGAGGTCTCCGTGTCCAACCTCCTACTCAAAGCACAGCCAACTAGATCATGATGCTCTGGACCATGTCCAATGAAATTCTGAATACCTTTGAGAACAGAGATCCTGCAGCCCCTCTGAGCTCCAGGTCCACTGTCTGATCACCCTCATGTTAAAAAAGCTTCCTGTATCAGGTTGAAATTCTCCATGCGTCCAACACTTCTTGCGCCTCTTCAATCTGGCCCCACCTTCTCCATGCCATTCCACTATGCAGTAATGGACAGCAATATGGTTTCTCCTGAGCACTCTCTTCTCCAGGCTGACTGACCCCAGTTCTCTCATCCTTTTCTCCCAAGTCAATTCACACACTTATGTCATCACTTACCTACTTTGGTCCTGCAACAATCTTGGTGGCCATCCACTGGACTCACTCCTTACATGTCAATGGTTTTCTTGCATGAGAGTGGGGGTGAAACTACACACACCATGCCTGCAAAAGGTTTCCCTTCCTCTTTTAGCTGCCAATGTGCTTACAGGAATTCTTCTCATTGCTTTATGTCACCTAGGTTACCTTGTCCTGTACCTCAGGACAAGTCAGGGGCCCTACAATAATCATAGAATCATAGAATGGTTTGGGTTGGACCCTTAAGATCATCTATTTCTAAGCCACAAGGACCACCTCCCACAAGACCATGCTGTTCAGAAGCCCATCCACCCTGGCCTTGAATGCTTCCAGGGATGGGGCGTCCATAACCTATCTGGGCAGCCTGTTCCAATGTCTCACCACCCTCACAGTAAAGAATTTCTAATATCTAGTCTAAATCTACCCTCTTTCAGTTTAGAGCTATTTTTCCTCATTCTGTCTCTACATGTCCTTATAAAAAGTCCCTTCTCAGCTTTTCTGTAGTCCCCCTTCAGACACTGGAAGAAGGCAGCTATAAGGTCTTCCCAAAGCCTTCTCTTCTCCAGGCTGAAGGGCCCAAACTCTCTCAGCCTCATAGGGGTGCTGCTCCAGCTCTCTGATCATCTTCATGGCCCTCCTCTGGACCCATTCCAACAGCCTGATATCTTGTGTTGGGAGCTCTAGAACTGGAAGCAATACTCCAGATGTGATCTCACGAGAGCAGAATAGAGGGGCAGAATCACCTCCCTTGACCTCCTGGTCACACTTCTCTTGAAGCAACCCAGAATACAGCTGGCCTTCTGGGCTGCAAGCAGACATTGCTGGCTCCTGTTGAGTCTTTTATCAGTGGACACCCCCAGATCCTTCTGAGGGCTTCTCTCAAGCCATTCTCCGCCCAGCCTGTATTTGATCTTTGTCAGCCTGTATTCGTGCTTGGTCAGCTCTGCTTTGCAGTGCAGCCTGTCTTTTTATAACTTGCGTAGTTTTTCTGCTGTATGAGATTTCAAAACTGCAGAATCCAATTCAGAATCTCCCATGTAATGCTAGCTAGCTCTTTATATGTTGTGATCACAGTGTTTGATGGTAGATGTGTTATTCTGGAACCTGGAAAGTAGTGATCACTAGCAAAAAAGACGCAACATAAGAAACACTCAACTAAGAAACTTGTTTCCACAAAAGGTAAACCTTCACAGTTTTTATGAGCAACAAACTCATCTCCTGGTCCCAACATAATCTTCCACCACTTCTCCCCCATTCAGCCACCAACTACTGAACTATTTACAGAGCAGACACAGTCAGATATACAGCAAGCCTCAGAATTTTGATTAAAGAGGAACAGTTGTGATCTCATTATGTTTTCAGGATTTCTTTGTGCCTCTGATATCCAGAAAAAAAAACAACACCCAAACTTAAAAGAACATTGAGATTCTAACCTTGGAGCCTGACTTCAGAAACCGGAATCATTGGCTTAAACTTAACACAAGCTGTCCCTGTAGAATCTATTTTTAACAAGTGAACGAAAGAGAATAAAAATAAGACTGCATATTTTAATAGACCTAATGCACGTCAGAAATTCTAATCCCTTTACATCCTCCTCAGCTGAGAATATGTTCTAGTTACACGTATGAAAGAAAGTAAAAGCATACCTTTTATTGCACCCACAATATTTTGGTCTAGTCCTTTCCGGTTGTCATTGAGCCCTCTTTTCCTTTTGCCATTTGGTAAAGAGTTAGCCAAAGTCTGGTCATCAAAAAATGCACAAACCAGCTTCCTAAATAGCAGACTTCCTGAGCGAGTATAGTTTGATAATATAGAGTCCAGCTGAGATTTCGGCATGAAGACATCAAAGCCTTCTGCAAGTTGCACTTCTGGCTACCAAAAGAACACAAATGTTTTAATTAAAATGGCATTCAAACACATTATTTTACTTCAGTCATGCATCTGGTGAGATTTCTCAATCACTTAAATAATCAAACCACGAATCTTTTTCCAACTATTCAATACCACAGCAGCCTACTTCATTGAAATCAAACTCCATCAGTGAGTAACTTCAAAAGGCAAATCAAATAATCACACTTACGTCTAGCCACTGTAATAGTTAACAATCACTGACATTATTTCAAGGCATACAGCTAACAAAAAAGAAAAGAGATACCTTTCAATATTGATAATAATTACAAAGCAGATGATCATCCTAGAGCGACGTTCCTACACAAAGCTTTTGAGCCATTTAGCTAATCATTTTTATGGACCTGTTTCCTTGGCAAACGATGCTGATTAGCATGCTGTGGGACAGCCAGGTACTTCCAGGAAGGACAACTGCAGGGCCAACAGCCCCATTCCATGTAGCTTCCCAAGAGGGCTCTCAGTGCAAATGCCATCTATACGAAATGAAGTAGAGGATGACTTGGAGGTTGTCTCTTCGCCAGGGCTTGCTGATCAGCTACTTTTCCCTTGGTTTCATATCCCCTAAATGCATCCTGAGAACAGGATGATGTTACGCACATGGCTTATTTCAGCACAGAAAATCTCAGTGGCAAATCACTTCCAGAAAGGGAGATGGAGGAGCAGAAGAGGGAAAAAATGATCTTGTATTTCATCAGACTTGTCTCAAGTACACTACGGGCCAAAGCAGACAAAGGCCTTCAAAGAAGTCCACTTTCTGAGTTTTTCTGTTGCCTCTGTCTGTACAAATCAGAAATTACATGAACAATATTTACAGCATTGTCTTCTTCCTATGTCCATCACCACAAAATGCTTACACAAGGCATCTGCATGGAATAATTATTTATATAGCTTGAAGATGCATCAAGAAAAGACTGTATTTAAGATAATATCTGGAAGTTGGAAAGGGGTAAAAACAACAAATCTGTGGTTGTGATATGAGAAAATAAAGTTACAGCCTCATTCCTAACAACTTGCTCTTTTCTTTTCTTTTTTTTTTTTTCCCTGTGTGAAAATACATTCACCAGTGATGGTGCATTTTTGAAAATGTTTACAGAGCAAGAGCAAATGCCAGCCTACATCAAATCACCTGCAAATTTATTGAGTCTAGCTGGAGGAAAGGGCTGCCAACTGTAGAAGGATTTGGCTGCATAACTCTTTTTCCATGGATTTTTAAAATCAATACCAAGAGAGTTACAGCAAGAAGTATCTTCAAAGCATACACTATCACTGACCATGCATGCTTACTGGGTGACAGGTACACAGAAAGTGAAGACCACGATGCTTCTGGAAGCCAGAATGAAGATTCGTAAAATATGCAGATAGTAATAAAAAAGTAATAAACCCAAAAACACATTTTCTTCAGTTACTCCTGGATAAAAAGTTGCTGTTTTTTTTTTACCGTGAGAACTGTAAAAATGCTGGATCCAGCAAAACAGAGTTACTCTATTTGACATTTGACAAACTTCTGATGTAGGTGGGCTTTTAATATTTTACTTCTAAGTTTCTGGTGACAGCCAGATTTTCAAATGTAAATAAATATGGGCCAGGTTTACTACTTGGGAAAAATTCCACTTCATGTTACTCAAAAACCAGAAAGTAGCTGCCATGGTGTCAAAAGCATCCTACCCTATTTTGCTTCTTCGGTCTTAAGATAGTAATCTAAGATGACCTCAATGATACCAGCAGGCTAGACAAGTCATTCTCACTAACACAGCTGTAAAATGCAGTTGAAACCTCACCTGTGCATCAGCACGGAGAAGTCAATATTATTTTAGTTTTGAATTCCTCATATTAAATATTTTAATCAATTTCTATATTGGCTGAAGGAAAAATACTGATTTATACTTGCTCTCCTTTAGCTGAAAATTATTCTTCCATCAAAGACAATCAGTACCTAATTAAACTTTATGATCAATTTAAATGTGATTTCTCAAAAGGAAAAGCATTTATTAACAGGTAATGATCCTGGCATAAGGAACTGGCGAGTAAACTACTCCTTTACAATAAAATAAATAAGACCTGAATGCCAAAGGCTTGTGCAGTGCTAAAATTAACAGGAAGTGAATTAATCCTAAACATTTCAATAGGCTCCCTGCTTAGATTAGAAATGATTAGATTATAAATGAAACATTACAACAGTAAAACAAACACATGAAGGTTTAACCAAAAGTAACAGATCATTGCATTAAAAAAGTGGGTTATCTGACCCAAGGTCCAGATTAAGAGTTGGTCTCACTGAGCTGAACAAAGGCTTCTTCCATGTTCATAAGCAGCACTATTTCATCTTAGCAGATCTGAACTAATTGCAGTGGTTTTGGTTATGTAGCTCTAATTTTCTGTAAAAGAAACTGAGATCTTCAGCAGAGATGTCAACGGCGAGTTGGATCTGTCAGCAGTGTGCCCTGGAGCTAAAAAGGCCGACTGTACCCTGGGGTGCACCAGGCCCAGCACTGCCACTGGGTAAGGGAAGGGGTTGTCCCACCCTGCTCTGTGCTGCGTGGCCTCACCTCCAGCAGCGGGTGCTGTTTGGGTGCCACAGCACAAAAAGGACAGCAAACTGTTAGAGGGCTACAAAGATGGCGAAGGGTCCGGAGGATAAGATGTATCAGGAGTGGTTGAGGTCTCTTGCTTTGTTCAGCCCAAAGAAGAGGAGACAGAAGGGAGGTCTCATGGGGCAGCTCTGAGCTCTGCTTTCAGTGACAGGGCCTGAGGGAACGGCGTGGAGCTGTGGCTGGGGAGGGCAGGGGGTGCTAGGGAAAGGCCTGCACCAGAGGGCGGTGGGCATGGAACAGCCGGCCCAGGGCAGTGGGCACGGCACCGAGTTGAGTTCAAGGAGCGTTTGGCCAACGCTCTCAGTCACAGGGTTTGGATTTGGGGTGGTCTGTGTGGAGCTAGGAGCTGGAACTCCATGATACTTCACACTCACGATCCCTTCCAACTCAGATGGTTCTATGACCTTAAAGTTCAATGAACATGGGGAAGACTACAGTGGCAGCAGTACTGTGTATGACCCCACAACTCACTCAGTATTGTAAAGAGAACAATAAAATACAGTGCTATGCAAAACATCTTCCAGGTTCCTTAGGCACTCAGACATACTGGTAGTGAGCACGCTAGAGATCCTTATGACTAAACAGAAAAAGATAATACTACCATTCATTCAGAAAGAAATGACTTTATTTAGCTTTCTCAAAATGTTTAAGGTCACATTTTATTTCCACTGTTAAATATATCTCTTTTCAGAACTCAACAGTTTTATTTCCAAAGGCAAAACAAAAATCAATTTGTCTTAGAGCTCTGTAACTATATTCAAACAACTGCTGTGGTAAACACTGTCCAAAGCATGGGAGAGCAGATGAAGATCTGATTTATGAACCACACGTTTGCTGTTCTTTCTTAAGTTCAAAGTGGCATCTGCAAAGGACTGTGCCCAGCAATGAAACACATTCATAAAGTCAAATTAAATTCCATTGCAAGCACAAAACAAAAGCACTGTTTTCAAAACTATGTTTCAAGCTGAAAAGTGTGCCACAAGCAAAGACAAACTGTAAGCAGGAAAAACACACTGGCAATAAATTACTGGCCTCACCCCAAAACAGTCCCTCAAACATTAGGAAATATCATAGTACAAAAGGACCTCTGAGAAACCTCAGAGAAAGCATGGAACTAGTTACCTCATATCATTACAGACCCTATGGCATGAGACTGCAACCTAATTAGTGGTGTGGCTTGCATCTATATAACTGAATTATCACCACTGCTCTCTTATATTAGTAGTTCCCACTTTCAGAAAGGTAGAACGTTATCTGCAGCATTGTTTTCATTTCTGCTTATTGATGCTGAATTTAATTATGCTTTTCTATCTCACAATATTTACAAAATTGGAAATTACCTTCTCAAAATTAAAAATATATTAGAGAAATTAATGATCAGTTTACTCATCAGTGAACTACTCAGACAACATCTGTTTGGTCATTAAACAAAGCAAATCAGCCTCCAAATACGTGATGTTTCTATTGATGCATACATGTTATGTGAATCAAGAGAGCAGGCTTTGTGCCATTTTACATGTGACAAGAACATGTTTTAAGAGCAAGCAATTTTGGCTTCTTTAGTTACAGTCAAATTATCAGTAGTGCCAAGGCACTTATCTAGCAACCACAATGTTGAAAACTAAAGGACCCAGTTCAGCAGACTCAGGTATGAGCTTTATGGATGTGAGAAGACTTCTGAAGCCAGCAGAACCAGCCAGTCATAAAATAAAGTGCATGACTACATCCTGGTAGGATAAGGGCATATAAGAGAACAACCTGAAATAGTCAATAAATGACAGAGTTTGGAACTGTTTGTAAATGTAGCACTTTCCTGATCTCATGGTGACTCCTGGGACCAGGAAAGATGAAGAACAAATTTCCACTGCAAGCTCAGACAACAGAAAGCCTTAAATTCAAGACTGAACTTCACGTTTGTGAAACTTGGAAAACAAAAATCTATCCAAACTGCAGCATTTGTCTCCATTCAAAACTACCCAAGGTTTTCTTGTTTATTCAGCACAGAGGGAATACATTTCAAGCTGACATGTACACGTTTTCCCAGACCAGTGCTTTAGAAACCTGCGATTCAATGTATTGAAATATAACTTACATCTGATGAAGCTGATTCAAGGATAATTCCAAATCCTGAAAGAGGGGTTTCTACGTTGAGAGGGGGTTCAACTGCTTGCAGATTGGAACTTTCAGGGTTTGCTGACAGCTTCTTATCATTCTCTGCAGCACTGGTTTTCTTATTCATAGTAAATGGCTCAACAGTTTTGAGGGGTAGTTTTTTCTTTTTATTTCTCTTTCTTGATATTGTTGACTTTTGTGCACAAATCAGAGGAACAGGAGGTTGTTGTCTGTTTTGAGTCCCAACTGAATGAGAGAAAAGTAATGAATTAAATTTATAGACAAAGAAACTTGTATAACCACACAGACACACCATTAAACTACAGGCACGCTGAACTCATCTTCTGGATAAATGGTTCAGTTTTCAGTGCTGTTTGTGCATGTGGAACAGTTACATTTTATCTCCTTCGCATAATTTTCCAGTATGTACAATGGAGATAATGACACCGAGCTGCAGGATGAGGTATTTGAAGACATATTGATGAATAGTATTGTAAGAAAATCAGAAATATATGGCTCTTCTTCCTACTGACCACCGGGCGGCCAGTGGCATGAAGGACGTAAGTAATGATTAATTTGTATGCTCTCTTGAATGACTGAAAATCTCACTGTCTTTGAGCATCTTTTATAAAACAGCACAAGTGCTAATGCAATTACAGTTATTTTTCTGAGCGTAGTCACCAAGTTAATTAGCTCAGCAAGAACATTTCAAATATTATTATGTCAAGAATGAGTGAAAACACTATTCAGTACTTTAATTTTTAGGAAAGAAGTCACACAGATATATTAGGTTGTTTTTCTTGCTCATACACATAAGCTGACAGTTCATGTCTTACTTTTGAAACCTAAGATATCATATTTTATATTTATCAATGTTTCGCGTTTTCAGTACCCACTATTCGAAGTCATTTGTACAAATGACACCAGTCCTGAACCCACACCAACGTGACAGAACACTGCAGACACAATGACTTGTCTCCATGGATCAGTTAATAAGATCAAGAGCAAAACGAAAAAGAAATCTGAAGTGCCATACATCTTTGTTTTACCACACGCAAATCAAATTCGTTCCGAACTACAAGTGAAATACAAATGGTCCTCATCTGCAAAGACTAAGGAAAAAAGGAACCTTATTACACTGCTTATCACACAACTCCCAGGGCACTTCCTTCCCGATCAGAATTTACAGTGCTCTAATTTTTTCTGTAGCATTTGGACAGAAGGCCATCTGAATACCAAAAGAAGTTACCACACCTTCATATACTTATTTACATTGTTGTTGTTTTTTTTCTATTAGCAACAAAAAAGACCAAACATTTTCTTTTCTCTACAAAACCATTTTTCCACACATATCAGGAAATATGAAGCACATCCTGGCCTTTGCATTAAGAGATTCCCAAACTTTTTATATGGTAGATAAACAATACATCAGAACTGTTCTTGCTATTGAGGAACCAGCTCTTCAGGCGTAAACTCCAGTCTGTACCTCTCACTCACAAGTCATTTTTTAATCAGGCACATAATGCAATCAGTTTAACTGTGCAAAGAATCCCCTGTTCCAGCCAGGACTTTAAAACTGGGCCTTCATGTCCTTTTTTGTAAATGGGTGACTTTTTGAAAAGCATTTCCAGTCCAATACAGATTACAAAATCTGTCTGATCCATCTCTTGGCTCACTGATAAGCCCTTCACTCCACCCATATTTGTGTAATTACTCCACACTCCCTATTCTTAAGAGCTGGTACTGTACAGCTACCATAAGAGAAAAATCTCCATAGCTCCACTCCCCATCATTCACAACAGATGGGGAACTCAACTGACAAAACCCCCAATCTAACTCTTCATTAATATCTACACTAATTTTTATGAAGTATGGAGGCTGCAGCTTCATTGCAGCCTACAATGAACCACTTAATTCCCAGCTGCCCATTATCTTAGAATCATAGAACCACCCATGTTGGAAAAGATCATCTAGTCCAACCATCCACCCACCACCAATATCTCCCCACAAAACCAAGTCCCTTAGCACAACATCTAAACATTTCTTGAACATCTGGTTCTAATGCTTTTCTGGCACTGCACAGCTCGTAACCCAGCAGAAACCCAGCCCTCAGAGTGTTCCCCAACAAACAGATTCCTGCTAGCCCCATTGGAAGCTGACCATAGCTCAACAGAGGAGCTGATAAGCCAGCCTGAAGAACAGGAGAGCCCACAACGTACAGCAGCTAGCTCAGCTTAGGCTATCGTGAAGCTGGAACTTGAAAGATCTTTAAATGAAATGTTATACAATAACCTCAAGTTGCCTTCCAAATTTGTTTTAGTTTTGTTTTCCCTAATGTTAGTGAACTAGGTAGTGGCAGGTAAAGAAGCATCTCCCAGTTCTGAACAAATACACACAAACTGGGGGCAGTTATGGCATCTAAGCATACCAGGCCTACCATTCAGCCTCCATTACTACAGCATCTAGACACACATTAGTCTTCTCAAATTTAGCCACGAAAGATTCTTAAAAGTTAACGTCTCCTGTTATGGGTAAGCATCTGGCCCTGAGAAATAAAAATCACATTTCCACAGAGCCTGTGCAAATTTCACTTTGAACAATGTGTCATTAAAGCAGAAAACAACTCAGGTTCTGCTTCTTTCTACCTACAGGCAGACTTCTTTCTACCAGAGCATTTCTTCAACAAGGAGATGCCAGTCATGGACACGCATGGGACTGGTCATTGTACCTGACTGAATCTGGATCAGTTTCCTCATGGTCTTGAGCTCCTGAAGAATAGCCTGTAGAGTTGACTGGCAATTACAAGTACAGCAGTTTGGTCCAATTGATGAATTCACCATTGGGATTTCTCCTGAAAGAGAGAGGAAAGAAATAGGGGAGAGATTATGTAATCCACAAATATAATAAAAATAAAAATGACCCACAAGCATTTGAAGCTGTTATCAATACACTTGATCATGAAATTAGATCCAAAGCAAAAAAGCAAATAATTTTCTATGTGGTCCTTTAAGAGGAAGAGGCTGCTAGGTTTTATCCAATTGCTAGTATGTGCAATTATATACAGTAGGGGATGGCTCAGAGCCTGAATACAATGCACTCCTCACAGCAGGGCTCTCTATTGTCAGGCTAGTTCATCCTGAATAACAATAGCACCAAACCTCATTATAAACATACTCACTTTATCACGCACAAAAAAGCCCATCTCTCAGAGCAGTCCTACAAAGAATGAAGACAGGCTGCGTAATAAAGGTTTATACTGCACTTTCAATGGGGGCCTTAGAACTTTTAAACTGCTTGAATGTTGCATGTGATTCTTTACCACATGAATTGAGAATGAAAATAAAATCTTCTATTCAGAGAAAAATAAAAAGAAAAAAAAAAAAAAAGCAGACTAGAAATGAACCACCAGCAAGGAAATCTTTCAGATTTGCTCCTCTGTCACCAAATGTGGAATTGTTTCTAATGGCATGTTTTCCAATACTGCAGCCTACAAGATGGGTTTTCTGAAGTTTCTCTGATGATTCACATTGTATTTGAACAGATTCTCCTTTTGTAGTAGCTTTTACCAGTGTTCAACTGAATTTACACAATTCTACCTCTTTGCAATGATATTGTTACTGCCTTGGCTTCCAGATGTTTGGCACAGTAGGTCCTCAATTAGGACAGGCTGTAACAGCTCGAAGTTTTCAAGCTTTACCTGAACAGTTGTATCCTGTGCTTTAGTTTGAAATAACAGTATGGCTTTAATATAGCAATAAACAAACAAACAAATCCAAAATACAATAAAACTCCTAGCAATATCTGCTTGAAACTGAGGCCAGATGGACCGTACCTCCCTTCATTTCAGAATGTGCTTATCATCATTTAAATTGATGGCTATTTTACTGATTGTCAAAGCATGCAAGAGGAGGGATGATCACTTTATGAAGATATACATGAATGGATGGAACAAAAATCATCTCACTTGGTGTCACATGTGGTGGACTTCAGAGGGTGTATTTCCCTTTTTTTTCCTATATCCTGACAGTTATCAGGTGCCCTTTAATCATTTCTTAGCTAAAGTGAACACCAGCAAATCATTTTATCTTTGCTCATAAATCCTTCCATTTTTTCATTATTACTTTTGCTTTCCTCTGAAGCCAAACCAGTTATTAATACCTTTTTAGGTTTGGTTTGCATTCTTTTCATCAGAGCTCCACTGATGTCAGACCTGCACACATTCTCTGACTTCAATTTTCATTTGCAATGGCTAATGGCAACTTAGCCCCAGCTGAACTGATCCAACCCTTTCTTAGGTCTTTCAGTGTGCCCTATGCTTCTCAAAACTCCCTTTCCGAGGTTCTTGTTCTCTGTCCACTTCCATTCATCCTGTTAGGCGTTATGCAAAATCCATCATACCTGAGAAGAGTGGTGATTTTTCTCCCAGAAATGGGTTACATGTGAAACTAAATCTGAAAGACTCCTGCTAAAACAAAACTGGATTATTGACTCAGCACAACCCTGCTTAGTTTGAACTCATCCTTCCTTTGTATCCTGTATTTTCACACTGAAAGCTCCTTGGGGCATAGATTGGATTTTCCTCCTTTGAGTGGCTCATGAAGTGTTTTTAGCCCTCTGTTACATTTTTTTTTTCTTTCTGTACTTGTTAAGCTTTGCAACAGGTAACTCAGAACCCTTGAATTTGGCTCCAACACCCTTCTGCCTATTTGTTGATGTAGACTTTTTAAAGCAGATGTGAAGGTCAAGACTACTTTCAAATTTAATAACATCAGCATAACTCTGTGCTTTCCATTAAGACAAGCAGGCATGGCAGAAATGGAGCATGTTTCCCAGAAACATAGAATCCCAGAAAATTAGGAAAGTTTATTAATTAGAGAAATGCACAGTAAGAAAATCCTACTCATCCCTTCCTCCAGGCTATACCTTTCTCACTTCTCTGTTGTTTTAGATTAATATGTTCCTTAGGATAAGACTTATGTCTTCATCAGAATCAAGTATTCAAACTGGGACTCTGGAAATAGTATCTGGGAGACTACAGAGGGAGACAGGGCTCCTGGCTTTTGTTTTCTTCTTAACAAAAACTCTACATTGTGGTGAATTACTCATAAAAATTGGACAAAGCCAATTCCACCACTAAATACCTGTACATCCCCCTTGTTGCAATGTAACACAATCCTAATGAAAGCACGCAAGCACTGAGGCTCCCGATGGAAAACCAAAAGGTCTATTTTCCCACTGAGGCATGGGGGATTTACATTATAATCCCCATTAGCATTGATAGAAATTACCCATGTAAATCTACCATAGATACTGGAAATGGGAAAAGAGACCACCAATATTTCAAATCAAAGCAGGGTTCTACTGACTTCATACATATTCATGAGGGTTTTTTATTTTATTTCTACCCTCCCTCTTCTGATCAGCTTCTGTTTTGTAAGAAACATCTTGTAGAGTGTTCTCAGTCATTGTTCCAAGCACTACCTTTATCATTTTTAGAGGACAAAAGCAACCCTTTTCAACTTGTTATAAATCAATTTTTAATTTCAAAAAGAGAACAGACTTTTTATTTTTATGAAGGAGTCTTTAAAGAGCCATCTCCTTCTCTTTTGGAAGCTAGCCAGCATGTGAATTTGATACTGGCTCATATGATTGAGAGAAGACAGAAATACATCACAGAACTACACTGCTTCCCCTGTGTGTGCAGCAAGTAGCCCAGGACAGTGGTTCTTACAGCTGGATCTGCTGAGAGTAAATTCATTTAGTGTAATATTGCTATGCAACTTTATATTTGAAAAACATACAAGTGAAATCCATTGCAAACAGTCTTGGCGTAACCAAAAAAGGAAATCCAGCTGCTACATCACTGCCAGATTACCTACAGTTCCGAAGAAGTGAAACTATTTCAGACAGACTCGAGTCTGGTGGCTGTAATTGGATAGGCATGCTTATCACTCTTTATAGCCCTAAGATGCTTCTGCTAAAATCAGCGGGTCACAGACATCGACCTGACATCCTGACTTGCAGAACTGCTGCCTTAAGTCCAGTTTGGAACAAATCACTTTGCTTTGCTTTTTTTTCCTTCTGTTGCTCATTCCTCCTTCCCTCTTTTTTGTCTGTTCTTTGCCAATATCTTTTTCATAACTGCCTTCTACACCAGCATTTATTGAACATTAATTCCAGCCTTTTCCTGAACCACCTTCACCATGCAAGTAAATACTAGATCATCTGAGATGCCCATTACATTCAAATTTGAGTAATTCAGGCAGCCTACAGTGAATATAAACCCTAGCTTCCCATCCAATATCTATCCAATGGACAGAAATGGTTTCTTTACTCGTATCACCAGCTATAGGGGCCTGGATATGTCCCCAGTCATCACCTAAGCCTGACAAGCCTAGGTTATAATCCTGTGCCCTGAACAGTGCTCTTCTGTCCCCAGAAAACTGTGCTAGATGAGGAGCACTCACAGAGATCACTTGCAGCCCATGTCATTTGCTTTCTTTTGACAGACTGGGCACCACAACCCAAGCAGAGAGACTGCCCAGCAAGATCCACAACACCCAGCTGGAGGCAGAACCTGTAATCTGCCCTCAAAGAACTGGGCAAGCCGCCTCTCAAAGGTGGCCAGGGGAGAGGGCCCACACCCAGCTTTATGTAATAGCCTAAAGATTACATTCCTTTCTGCAGCAGAAGAGCTGCAAAGGGAGGGGTGAAAGGTGTCTCCACCCGGGCTCCTTCAGCGCACTTCCCCAACAGATGGGAGATGTGGGCATCCATTCTGCAGGGACAGTGAGACCACTCAACCCCAACTGACTTTCTCAGAGATTATTGAGGGAAATCAACAGTCAGCCAAAAATCTCTTCTCCTCATACAGAAAATATAGAATACTAAAGAGCTGACATTTTCTTGCAGATGGGGCCAAATCCCATCAACATGGTTTAGTTCACATGCTGAATCAGGCCCCTGAGGGGGAAATAGGTGCTGCTCCACCTACTTTCTGGATCCAGGAACAGGCACCTAAGCTGTGCAGGCTCAGGCACTTCTATGCATGCTGAGAATTGTCCCTGCAGGTGCCCACGAACTCCCAGGCCAAAGAGGGAGCCATGTCCTTCCACACTTAAAATCCCACTACAATATGCATAGATTGGATTTTGCATTCAAGTCTAAAACAAGCATTAGGTCCCTCTTTGCCCCCACATCTGACTCTAAGTTACACTGTATCTTTAAATAGCAGCTGTCTTTTTTTTCTTTTCCCCTTTTTTTTTTTAAAGTAAGTGTTACAAAACAAACAAACCTAGCATGACTTACTGCACCTTTCTCCACATCACCTGGTACAGCTGAGTGAATCACTGCCTATAGGGAGAAACACTCAGTCCTGTGAAACTTAAGTCTGTGTATCTTTCAGTGCAGGGATGACACTTCCTATAGGGCAGTACTGACAATAACAATAGAACTTTTTTTTGTATGATACAAGCAATGGGAGCATGTTTGCCTTTAGATAAGGACACATAACTGTACAGGAAGTCTGAATACCTTCAGAGTCAACTAGAAACTGCAATCTACAGAAAGTGCAATCTATATATTATACTTTTTTTGCCTACCAGATGACAGAACTGAGGTGCTCCTTTAATATGAAAACCCTTCTAAGTGCAAGGCCGAATATCTGGAGGAAAAACCTTAATTTGGATTGTTAAAGACCTTCAAGATTCTGGTAGAAAAACCTTTGCTCTTTCTGGTACTGATGACAGTAAGAGAAATGAATTCAAAGGACACCTCCTCCCCCCCCTTACTTTAATATAGAATTCTCTGCCAGAACAAGATGGACCACTGTCCTGTACATGCTATTCATAGGTAGGTTCCATCCTCTCTCGTCTCCAGTGATGCTATCAGAATAAGACCCTGTAGCTACACTGGGATTTTGTACCTTAAATTCAGCAAAGAGTTGTAAGCCTGATTCCATCAGCTTATGACAGTGAACTAGAATCCTGCTCCACAAGAAGTGTCACAACAATGCTACATTACTCATTGCAAAGAGGAGTGGTAGAATTTGACATTTAATTAGGTATGAATATAATAACAATGGCCAAAGCTGTTTTAAGAAGTACTGTAAAGAAATTAAGCCTATATAACAGAATTGAGTAATTTTGTCCTATCACCAGAAATCCGTTTTAAAACCTAAAACAGATGGTAGCAAAAAGCACTATGCCCGCTTTCACACCTTTTCAAAGTGATAACTATGTGCCCATTTTGTTGACTCTGAACTACAACTGATTTCAGTGCAGCGTTATCATAAATCATCAGAACAAAGGCAGAAACTTAGTGCAGCACAAGGGAAAAGAAAAAAAAAAAAGCACTATTCTTAGTATCTAGTTTAGATCATACCATTGGATGCCATGGTTCGTGTCTGATTTTGGAACGTTTTGGATCGAGTTCCATATTGCCCTGAAAAATGGTTATCTTGGGGTGATAATTCATTCCATGCGTCGCTCTCACAAGGATGAAGGCTCTCCTCAGACTCCTCAGGGGGATCCAGGCGCTGGGCCCAGGCTAAGTCTAAATCCTGGGGCTCCTCCTTCAGTTTTTCTCCTTCTTTGCCAACTCGCTGATAGATTCTTCCAGCGCTGTCATTCAGTAATCTTCTCATCCCTGTAATTTGTTTTTTAATTTCCCGGCTTTCATCTCCTAATGAAAACAGAGCCACAGTTATCACTGTAAATTAGCAAAAACGGTAATGGGTTGAGATTAGTGATTTTAGATGCCAGTACGTTTCTAGCTGCTGGAGTACAAAAGTAAATAAATAAAAAAGAGAAAGACACGGTTGAACAGCAGTGGGTACGTCCTGGGCTATGCTGTAACACAGCAATGCTTGAGATCTTGCATGGTTAAAAGACCTGCTGAACTTGGCTTTCTTCATGCCATTTCTAAAGCTTTGATGAGCAAGATTATTTTTCTGCAGAAGGAAATAATAATAGCTAGAGCAGTTTCAAATACTCTATCCTTTTAAGAGACTGATCCTATTCAGGCACTGACATCACTGAATATTTTCTGAGTACAGCCTAAGGAATCAGACCTTTATGTATCAGTTTGCTATATGCTTAAGAATAGATCCTACAAAGGAAAAAACACAAAGTAATCGCAACACACATACACAGAGTGTAACACTGCATCTATTGATCTTAATAAACAGGATCAGTTCCTCACTTCACAGAATTTTATATTGCTAGATTATACAGGAATAAATTAAAAAGCAGCTAATAACGTATAACTGTACACAGCCTAACTGCTGGATGTCTTCAAAATGTAGATTATGGGCACAAAATGAAAATGCATACAAGAAAAAATGTGTCTGTTTCAAATAAATCCAGGACATTTAAATAATAACAATTACATACTTTAATACTCCTGGCTCCATTTAAGTATTAGTTTTATGTAGGAAACTGCTGATCGCACAATGAATATACATGTTTTGAGTAGATAGTAGCTATTTTGCTCATAAAAGCATACATTACATTTCACTAGTAATAAGGAGGTGTTCATAACCACTGCTGAAATAGGAAGCTTCTCTTTTTTAATGGTAATAGAAAAATCAAACATCTTAAGCAAATGGAATAACAAAGATCCAGAAACTGATGGATCGACTCTTCCTACACAGTGTACTTGGTACAGTAATACTTGGTGTCCCCAAACCAATTTGCATTCCCACTTCCCCAGATAAACTGATTTTTAGGAAAAATAGAAAAGAAAATTTCAGGAGAAATAAAAACAAAACTCTCCAAAATCCAAACCGCAGCGTGCACCGGCTCCAGTACAACAACAAAACACATGAAAGCGTGTTAATGCCTGGCACGTCAACTATTTTATCAATTCAGCAGTGCCACTCGCTTGCCTAAACTTAGGCACATGCTCAGATAGCTGGCTAAGCCGGTTAGGGGTTAAAAAAGCAGCAGCACACTTTGGCCAAGCTCAGCATGCCCAGGGACACGTAGCACCCAGAGAGGGAGCTGCTGACAGGGCCTCTAAGCGAGCCGTACGGTCAGAGCTCGCCCGTGCTGAATCAGTGCAGCTCCCACTTGACCCGACACCCTGGTTCCGCTTGGCACAGAACCAGCTGGCTTTAACCCACCCCAACCACAGCAGGAAAAGTGGGTGGCTTTCAGGAAAGCTTCTGGTGTGAACTTCGAAAATAGCTGCCAGCCCCATGCAGAGCTACTAGAATGCTGTCTTCGCTCCAGCTGAAGCACTGAGAAAAAGCCATCTGCAGGGAAGTTCCACATGACGCGTATTTTGCTGTTTTGTCTGCAGATTTATGTGCGTGTATGATTTAATTAACAAATGACACTCGTTGGACTCAAGCCAGCCAGGGGTTCACTGTTTCACTTCCCAGCCTCAACGGGAAATGAGAGGCCACGGAGCACCATGGGATCACAGTTACAGTTCACTCCTGGCTCTAAGCTGAGGGCTGCCTTTCCCAGCCACCCCTGAGTTCCAAATGCTCCCATAAAATCCCTTACCATCACTCCCTTCCTTAAAGCTCTCCCAGAGCTTTATGTTAGCAATTCCCACTGGCCTTCAATGGCAACATGTAGGTAGGATCAAAAAGAATTCCCACCCACTTTCTTCTATTGGGTTTAGTGACTGTATGCACCATTGCTGGTCAGGTGACTCATTGTCTGAAAGATTAAATTTCCCTTACCCAATTACATAAAATATTAATTGAGCCTATTCTGCCTTGATTCAGGTCACATGTTTCTTTTTATAGAGGTCTTCCTCTATAATGACATGAACACATGCCATTTGTCTCCAAACAGAAAAAAAAACTGCATACATATCACAACAAACAAAGAACTTGCTGGAAGCTCAAGTTAAGTATATCTTTGCATTTAGATCTCTTGATCCCTACTATAAATGGGGAGACTTCCCATTTATGAACTGCTTTTTCTCCTCCCAAAAATGTCTTCTCATTGGATGGAAGGTCCTTGAAAACATAATATTGAGTATTAGGCAAAGCCTGTAGCACTCAAGTTTACAACAACCCATTCACTCATGCCACCCAGTTATGACTTCTCCATCTTTTTGTGGTTTTTATTTTGTAACTGCCCAGCTACTGCAGCTGCCTTCCCAAAACCATCTGCCTCAGTGCGCATGCTGTCATTGAAACAGATTTAACTTCTCACTCTCCCATTACCAATACAAGCTGGGAGATGAAAGGATTGAGCACAGCCCTGCTGAAAAGGACTTGGGGGTACTGGTGGATAGGAAGCTGGACATGAGCCAGCAATGTGCCCTCACAGCCCAGAAAGCCAACTGTATCCTGGGCTGCATCACAAGAAGTGTGGCCAGCAGCGTGAGAGAGCTGATCCTGCCTCTCTGCTCTGTGCTAGTGAGGCTTCACCTGGAGTACTGCGTCCAGATGGGGAGTCCTCAGTACAGGAGAGATGTGGACCTGTTGGAGTGCAACCAGAGGAGAGCCAAAAATGATCCACTGATGGAACACCTCTCCTATGAGGACAGGCTGAGAGAGCTGGGGCTGTTCAGCCTGGAGAAGAGAAGGCTGTGAGGTGACCTAAGAGTGGCCTTTCAAGTATCTAAAGGGGACCGACAGGAAAGAAGGGGACAGACTCTTTAACAGGGTCTGTTGTGACAGAACAAGGGGAAATGGCTTCAAGCTCAAAGAGAGGAGATTCAGGTTGGATATAAATTAAAAGTCTTTTACAGTGAGGGTGGTGAAGCACTAGAACAGGTTGCTCAGAGATGTGGCTGATGCCCTGTCCCTGGAGACTTCCAAGGCCAGGCTGGATCAGGCCCTGGGCAACCTGATCTAGCTGTGGTGTCCCTGTTCACTGCAGGGCAGTTGGACTAAATGGCTCTCAGATGTCCCATCCACCTCTAAGGATTCTATGATTCTATCTCACCTGGCTGCTAGCTCGAGCCCAATGACAGCATTCTGCTACCAGCAATTCCACTGCTAATCATCTTCACAGATAACAACAACATAAGTTTAAAAAAATAAAAAAAAAAAAGGAACATCAGGTGCCAAGAAAAAAAACAAAGCTCAAACTGCTACATCCTAGGGAAGAGGTTTTAAACTAAAAGCAGAGAGATTTAGATTAGATATTAGAAGAAAATTCTTTATGCAGAGTGGAGGCACTGGTGCTGCTGCCCAGAGAAGTTGTGGATGCTCCATCCATGGAGATGTTCAAGGCCAGGTTGGATGGGCCCTGGACAGCCTGAGATGGTGAGGGGCAGCCAGCCCACAGCATGGGCTGGAGCTGGGTGGGGTTTAAGGTCCCTTCCAACCCAAGCTATTCTATGACTCTAAAAGCCAGCCCTCCTTTCCAAATGCTGATCAGGATACCAAAGCACTGAAAAAAAAAAAATAATAATTGTATCACCCATCTGCAAAAACCTCCTGAGACTGCAGCAAGGACTGGGAGGAACAGTGTTTGGAGTATGCAGCCCAGCCCATAAGACAAAATTCCATTTCTCTTCCTTCTTTGGGACTTTTCCATCACGCTGGCGTGTATTCCAGCCTTCTTCTGGAAGCCACATGGGGCACACTGAGGATTCCTCAGCACTCCTGGGGAGGTGGGAAGGCCTCCTACCAGCAGACTGAAGGCCAAGGTTTTGCTACTTAGATTGTCCATAATAATCCCTTTGGTTTTATTTCAAAGCAATGAGTTCATTTGCTAAGTATTGCTCAAAATAGATAAGCGTGGCAAATTACAGCCCTGTTTAGAAACTTACAGGTGAACATATTAGAAACAGAAATGAATTAGCAATTTCTGTAAGAAGTTACTATTATAGTCATTTCTATGATGGCCCTCTAAATACAAACTTTTTTTCAGATGGCCTGATTCTGATTTTATAAAACAACAAAAGACAAAAATCTTCTCATAAATTCCAAATCAATTATTCATAAAAAGTAATCTTCCCCTAAATTAAATTCAATCACTTGCCTTACTGAAAGTACGTGCAATGCTAAAGCGTACTGCTTTGAAAGCTCCAGATTTCAAATGCACAAATCTGAAACAAGTGTCCTAGTAATGACTGACATCTGTTAACAGAACTGTTAACAACCTTAGTTAATAAAGTATCATTGATAATTCATTAATTCAGTTCTTGCTCCTATATTTCTGAACATTTTCCACTATTATGCATATTAAACTTAATACACAAATATGGCTAAATGCCTACAAACAGATCACAGTTTTCCAAATAACTTGCCAAATACTATCAAAGTGCAACCTACAGTGACAAAATGGCATGCAAGCACACCCATATGTTAAAACATTAATTATATTCCAGCAAAAAACAGTGATAACCAAATATGTAATTAATGTACATCTTCTGAACTGGATGTATGAATGAGCGGAGCGAAGGTTGGCCGATAGGCTGTATAACATCTTTTTTCCCCTCTGACATACACAAACAACAAACACTCTTTTGACTCGAGGATTTCAATATTTTGAAGTTCATTTCTTTCTTTCTTTCTTTATTACTTATGATAAATGTTTTGGGAAATATTCATGACTGGTCGACCTCATAAAAAGTCAGATTTTATCCTGTATTCTGGCAAACAACTCCTAAGGAAAACTTCCTTCCTTGGCTACGTATCAGGCTGCCCACGGAAGGAATGTTGTAGCTCAGAGACCGCCACCCTCGTGTCAAACTGTGAACGAGTC